CTTCATTACGCATTTTATGGCTGGTGCGACTTATACTCTGGAGCAATTTCTAGTCAAAAAAATACGGTAATCTGTCTGCATCTCCAAAGCTCAAAATAGTGATGTCATGAAGCAGTAGTTTTCAAGTTAACAGCTACTCTTTACCTTTTCTTCAGCAGAAATATTAAATTCCAGGGCTGAATTTATCCAAATGCTTCTAGTGAAGATTTTAAAAACACAGTGGGGCACTTCCTGTATTATCACATGACATCACAACGTGTTTTCTGCTTGAGGGAAGAACTCAGCATAAATCTGCAGAGTTTGTGTGTTAAACAAGTGAAACTAAACACATTTCTGGGTAGGGGTGTGCGAAAATATTGAAGTATTGATATATCGTATTCTTTAATGTTATGATACAGTATCGATATCGTGAGCTACTGTATCGATATATCGCCAATATATCCAATACATGTGTCCCAAGTTTCGGACTTACGGTCATTGCACAATGCATACTGGGAAGGATCCTCCGAAAAAGTGAGCGTCAAATCGCCATGTTTGTTTTCCCAGTGGGATGCGTCAATAGTCAAAGCCGATCTTTTCAAGTCTTTTGAACCATATCACTTTTGTTTCTGGTTCTGATAATGTCATATTTTAGTTACGGGATTCGGACATCGTAATTGTGTGGTTATTGAATGTCCTAACGGCAGAAAACAGCTCGAGAAATGGGCTTCGGAACTTGCGAACTCCATAAACGCAAAAGGGAATCAGATCTGTGTGACTGCAAACCTCTGTTCAAACTGTTTCCCTTCCCAACAGAATTAAAAAATAGTGAAATGCGAAAGCGATGGGCAGTACTGATACACAGGAAAGACGAAAAAAGTAACCTCGGAAATCATCCCGAGTTCGCAGCAAACATTTTGTATGTGGAGCACTGACCAGCCAACACGATGCACCTTTAACGCCACTATAACATAATATTCTAGATAACAGACCCACCACTAACAATAAAAACAAAAGGTACTCATTTGCAGTGTGTCATTCCTTTGTACTGTAAACATTTCATTCAAAAATACATTACAAATTATGCCAAACTCGTAACCTTGAAACTACAAGGCATTTGTACTTTCTCTCATGTCAATCCACAACACATGAATTCAAATGAAAAAGTTTGTAAAGAACCCGTGGCAGGATTTAAAATGCACGCTGCCTCTCTTTTCCAAGGACCTACTTATTTGATGCTATTAGCCCTGAGCTGCTTTTACAATGTTAGCCTAGCGGTTGTGTCTTCTCTCCCAGATGTTTCACCTCTGTCTGCTCCGCTCTCTGCCAGCGCTAACTCCATAAAACGCAATATTTATGAATTATGCACCACATTTCGAGCAGAAATATGAAATCTATGACTCTAGGATAATTGCCGGCTTGAGTATTACGCAACTGGGAATGTTATGTTCGCAAATAAAAAAATTTAAACTGAATAAAGAGTCTAACATTTGGGAGCAGACTTAAAGAGGAGGTACTATGCAAAATGGACTTTCTGGAGCTTTCTGTCATGGTATAACGTTGTTCCCTCATCAAAAACATGCCAGAAGATGTTTCAGATGTTCATCCATGCTTGTTTGAGTAATTTAGTGATCTCTCCTGTACCCTCCTTACGGTTACCTGTAAGTTTCATCCATAAATAAACAAAAACATGATACAAAACTGTACACAACAACTTCACAAACCTGATGCGATGTGCAGTAGTTTAATGAGAGGCAAGGATGACGATTGTAATGTAATAGCGCTCTGAAGGGGGAGAGAGAGAGAAATGGGAGGGGAGACTCGGAGCATCAAAAAATAAACAAACAAATTAAACATGATAACGCGTTGTCTTCAGTGAATTTAGCATTTACAAAAAAATTTAAGTTAACATAATGATCTAATTATGTACCCCACAGAAAGTCCCTCTTGAAAATGCTCTGTAACTGATTTTTACAGTCTTAAAAACATAAAAAAAGATATTACCGTATTTTACGGGCTATTAGGCGCTCTGGATTATAAGACACACTGTCATTAAGTGGTCTATTTTCAAACTTTTTTCACATATAAACCGCACCGGACTTTAAACGAAACACAACAGTTGGATGGGTCACTGGGACTTTGTTTGTGGCGTTCACAGTGACTCTGGGCTTTGTTCAGTTGTGGCGTGTAGGGAGGGTGCTGTCTGGGACCGCTGGATTGTTGGCGTGTTCGCAGTGACTCAGTTGTTCAGTTGTGTCTAGAAGTGGCCCATTGGACTCGCTTTTTCGGTTCGTTCCTTCGTTCCGTTCCTCGATGGCGTGGAGTGATGAGTGTGTCTGTGGGTGTTTTTCGCTGTGCAGTCACTGTCTGCTCCGTGTGTGTTTGCGTGCGCTGCGGGTAGTGCAGCTTTGTAGTTTACAGAAGTCGTGCTGGGACACCCCAGTGGATTCGTGTATAGGGCGCTCTGGATTGTGGGGCGCGTGGTTGTTTTTTTATGCAGTTAGAAGCTTAAGAGCGCGTCTAATAGCCCGGAAAATACGATAATTCATTTTAAACAGTTTGTAATGGTCCATTTCTTTCTGAGTAGGGCTGGGAATCACATATCATGATTCGATATGATACACGATACAGGGCTCACGATACGATATTATCACGATATGAAGATAAATGCAACAATCAATACATTGCACATAATAGTGTAAATTGCTGTTTTTTAAGACCCAAACACATTTTAGCAACACTATTTCGTTGTTAAACCACTACTTTGCAAAGTGAATATGAAATACTTAATTATAATTTTCATAATACTGGGCAAATTTTTTGTTGTTTAGTTGTTTTGTTTCTGTTGTTATGATTGCACTAATGTCAATATGAATAACACTCTGTTCCATTGTAAAAGGATGTAAAATGCTGACTAGCCCAATATAAATACATACAAGAAAAAAGTGAAATGAAATACATCTATTTCAATCATTATAACAGTGAATATGCCAAGTGTATTGCATAAACAAGTTCCCTTCTACTAAATAAGCAACAAAATTGTAGTGTGCGGTAGCAAAAAACCAAAACAAAAAGATTAAAACCAATACTTTTGACAATATATCTATAGAGCAGCTCATGATAACAATACTATATCATCAAATTTAGAATCACAATATAACGATATTTTTGCACACCCCTAATTCACTGCAATGGGGCTTTAAGTGCTTTTCACAACTGCCAGAGAACAGAGGACTTCACAGCCAAGCTACTGACAACTAGCATGCAAACGACACACATCCAGATTAATGAACATCTTTATAATTAGATGCAGACGAAACAAGGCAGACGTACAACACAATATATCTGTACTGGGGCAAGATTCGCTCAAATACATGAAAACAAAATTGGGTACAGGGTCTTTAAACAGGAGTACGCCACGACTTTGTTTGAATACAGCCCGATGAGATCACTTTCTGGATGCGGGCGCAAAAAGTTGATAATAATAATGAAAAGATGGTAGAATATAATAGAGGGGAGATGTAGTGGCTTATATCCAGAACAGTGTGTACCCTTTGCTGAAAACACGCTTAAAGCTCATTAGATAAGCTTTAAAAAGATGCCTCTCACTGTAGACTCTATTCAGGGTCTAATTATACTGATGTGTGGAGTCAAGACTACAAAGACAGAGGAGATATGGTGAAAGCATGGACAGTAAGGGCAGTAAATTACAGTAAAATTAAAACTGGAGAAATATATGTTCAGACTATATATAGTGTTATCATTTAAAAGTTGGGCTTTAGTTTTTATTGCATTGTATTTTCTATTCTGAAAGACTTCGGCGAATACCGCAGGGGACAGATATGAAGTGTAATTATGGATAATTCTGTTTAAAAATTGCAATGAGATAAACAGCAGCATATAAAATGGTACAAAGTATCAGTATCCCAGGTGTGTGGGAGTAAAAAAGTCCCCTCGTCTTGGTTTATATATATGAAAACACGCCAGGGGATGATAAACCGGGACGAGGGGGCTTTTTTACTCTCACACACCTGAGATACTGTCCTGAGGAAGTCGGACTGCAGATGGCGCTGTCGTCCTGCCTCCATCGGTAGGAAGACAGCACCAAAACCTGTTTAAACTGTCACAGCAACATCATGTGACCACCAGTGAGCAGCCCAAACTGTCAGGTATGAAAACAAACCCTTGGTCTAAAAAGAACTTAATAACATAAATTTAGGCAATATCATTCATTCAATTTGTTTTTTTCCCAAAAGGATGGTGTAAAAGGCGTTTACACCATATATAAGAAAGACTAAATTACCGTATTTTTTGGACTATAAGGTGCACTGGATTATAAGGCGCAATATCAGTAATGTTGAATTCTCTCGATTATTTTCATACATTAGGTGCACCGGATTATAAGCGAAACAAACGGCACTTGAGACTGATCCCTTAGCCCAGGCGTCCACGATCTGCCAATGTAATTCGCCCGGTGTTGCCTCCCTGTCTTTGTAAATGTGTATTATGAATGTAAATGTGGGTGATTAATTTAAGTTTGCTTTTTTAATTTCCTACGGGGAAGACTCAAATATACACTAAGTAATAATGTGTTTAATGCAGAAACGAAACTTAAAACCACATGTCTAATTTGCATAAACTGTAAGCGCTGAAAAAAACAGCTCTTTTCTTGTGCGCTGATGCGATCAATTTCTGTCAGACTAAAGGACACGACTCAGCGGAATATGTGTGTTCTTTCTGTTCTAATCCGTAATGCTCTGACAATCCATCAACCGGTGCGGCTTCATAGATTACCAAAGTCGTACTAAAACATTTTGACAGATTTTTAAGCGCCGTGTACCACATAAAATCGGTTCGAGGTCAGTAAGCAGAACCAGGATTAATACATAAGGCGCACTGTCGATTTTTGAGAAAATTTTAGGATTTTAAGTGCGCCTTATAGTCCGAAAAATACGGTAAACATTCTGACTTTAAACCCAGCTTTTCCTCTGTAAAGTGTATAACAAAGTGCACATAGTCACCCTTATGGAATGGTTGCGTCCGTTGAAAGGCTCTGCTGCGGAGAAGAACTCTGTGCCGTGGTCCAGTCTGCCGTGGCCTCCGTAGATCTCCATATCAGAATCCAGCTTGATTTTGTATCTGGGAGAGGCAGGTTAAGGAGCTCTACCGGCGGGAAAGTAGATTAGGAGAGGGTGGGGCAAAAGGCACGCTGGAGTGGAGCTTTTCATCACCGTTGCTTTGGTTGCTAGCCGCTTTTAGCCCGTGCTCAGCAGCTTTACCCCTCCAAATCCCCCTCCATCCATCAGCCTTAAGAGAGCAGAGAAGTGACAGAGATGAGAAAATAGTGTGGCGCATTAGCATAAACACAAAAGTGATGCAGCCAGCCAGCGCGCCCCTCTAATTTACCGCATTCAGCGCCGAAATAATGAATTTAATCTGAAAAGTGATCCAAATGACTGACAGCGGGAGATGGTTCTAAAATTAGCGTCTCTGCGTCTCAGATATGCTCGGAGTTATTGTTTGACATGCTGCAATATTAGGCCCCTGACAGAGAGCCAGCCAAATATTAATAAGGTGGATATGGAAGTAATACACAAGTTAGGAGTGACGGGGCGTTGCGCTGTAAAACTCTTTTCAAAACAAAGTCAAATGAAAGTCAAATTGTAATGGAGTTTAATACAGACCTACACAATCTGTCTACTGTTATAAAATTTATTGCTGCTTACTTGCTTTGCTGGTTAATCCGTGTATCACTGGTTCATTCGTTTTTCAGAATAAAACCAAAAATAAGAAAATTAAAAAACAGCTATTTTCCTCATTATTTGTCTGGAAAAAATGAATAACCGTGTCCCCGTTTCTGTGACTTAAACTCCGACTTTTGCGCCACATAAGGACTGAACCAGGACTGATCCAGGACTGATCCAGGACTGATCCAGGACTGATCCAGGACTGATCCAATACTAAACCAGGTCTAAACCAGGACTAAACCAGACCTAAATCAGAACTAAAACTAGGTTTAACCCAGGGGTAAATTAAGCATAAAATGAGGACTAAAACCAGGTATAAATCAGGTTTAAACCAGTTCTGAACCAGGACTAAAATCAGGACTAAAACCAGGACTAAATCAGAACTAAAACCAGGTCTAAACCATGGCTAAATCAAGACTAAAATCAGGACTAAAACCAGGTTTAAATCAGGTCTAAACCAGGACTAAAATCAGGACTAAAATCAGGACTAAAACCAGGTTTAAATCAGGTCTAAACCAGGACTAAAATCAGGACTAAAATCAGGACTAAAATCAGGTCTAAATCAGGACTAAATCAGAACCAAAACCAGGTCTGAACCAGGACTAAAATTAGGATTAAAAACAGGTCTGAACCAGGACTAAACCATGCTGCACAGTGGGGGTTTTCTGTTACATAAAGGTCAAATAATCGCCCACCGCTGCCTCTTTGTTACATTGAGTCTAATATTTGTACTACACCAGAAAACATGGCATTAATACACAAAATTCACATGAGTATAGGCGTATCTAGGCGAGTACAGAAGTAAACATTTTGAAGTGCGAAATAGATGAAAAAATACAGATAATAAATGATAATAATGAAACTAATTCAAGCCTCTGACACAAACCCTAAAGCAGCATTTCCTCCAAAAAACAATTCTAAATGTACAATATGATAAAAAAAAAAAAAAAAAACAAAAACACGAATAGTAATAAATAAATATCTGAATTAAACACGTGTATCTAGAATAAGTTATTTATTCAACCCACCCCAGCTCAAATCAGATCACAGAACAGGAAAAATAACAAAAAATGTCCCAACTATATTAAGAAAAAGATTATAAAGATAAAGATAGAAATAATAAATAAAAATATTAATAAAAATAAATAAATAAATAAAAACAATAAATAAATAATATATTAATAAATAAAAAGCTAAATATAAATGTAAAGATAAGGATAAATATAAAGATAATAAATATTGGTCCACCCCAAAATAATAAAACTTTGAATATGTCCATATAGAAATGATCGTGACAGGCAGGGCAGTGGACGAGGAGGACAAAGGGGTCTGTTTTCCCAGGCCCATGGTCTTAGGGGCCAGAAATTGGACTCTCTTATATTAGAAGGAGACCCATGTGAGGCTTCTTGCCCAGGGGCCCCCAAATCTCTGTCCACGGGTCTGGTGACAGGCTGACATGAGTAGAATAATCCTCTCTCTCCTCACTGGCTCTCTTGTTCTTGTCGACATGTAATGCAAATATCCATAAACATTATTGACTAGAGCAGCGTCTGTCTGAGGGATATCATGGCAAACATCATAATTGGTTTGAGGCATAATCAGCTAATCTCCCCATAGAGAGGAACTGTGATCCTCAAACGGCCCACAGAGCTCAGCCAGGTCTTTGTGTGGGATGACAATCTGTTTCCCTTCAAGAGAAAGACTGAAAACTTTAGAAACGCCAAAAAAATATACACAAATTCAACCAAGACCTGTATTACTCTATTTTCTGATTGGTTATAATGTTGTTTCCTCATCACAAACAGACCTGGAGTTGTGTTTTGTTTCATTCACACACACACGTTTAACACAGAAATCCAGCATGTTTAGACAGATCTTCTTTCAGACACAGCACACCCTCTTCCACCTTGTGATGTCATGAGGTAATACAGGAAGTGCTCCACTGTGTTTTAAGTCCCAAACACCTTCATTTAAAATAATTCCGGTAAAATATTAACTTGAAAAGTACAGCTTCATGACATCACAACGTGGAACAGAGCATTTGAGCTTTTGGAGATATAAAAAGACTAATAATAATAGGATTACTCAAACATGTGTGAATGAAACAAAACACAAATTCAGGTATGTTTTTGATGAAGTAACAACATTATAACATGGCTAAAAGTTTGCGAGAGTAAATTTCACATAATACAGGATCTTTAAACATATCTGTCTTGTATTTATTTCATTATGAGCGTCTTTAATGAGTGTTGATTACAGTGAGCAGGCCCCTCTCCACAGATCTGTCTAGTAATAGAGCTAGTAGTGCCACCTGCTTGCCTCCACAGAGACAGTAAAGCTTAATTTTCATGCTGCAGAACATTAGTCAGGTTGGCGCCACCTAGTGCCTCCACTCAATTTCATTTCTCTCCAGCGACTAGGTCAGGAATCGGAATACACTACAGTAGACGGTTTGCTGGAAGTTGTAGACCCGTGAATCAGAGAAGAGCTGTGAAGCCATGACGACAAACTCAAGCACTTGTCTGGGTCCCTTTTGTGGTACAGCACAACAGTAAACAAAGCGGTCGAGATGGATGTAGATGAAACTGTACATTGTGATTCCCGAGATTGAGGATTTAAAGATGGAACAAAGACAATTTTTGGTGAATTTTATTAAGGGTAAAGACGTTATTGCCCTTCTTCCTATGGGATTTGGTGCATTACATACGTCACGACCAAATAGCAACGATTGGTTAAATAAAGAAAGTACCTGCCTACTGTCGAGCGAACGAATCCTAATGCTGTGAGGTCAGACGGTTTCCACGAAGTGAAACCGTCAGATGAATCAGGCTAGCAGAACATGGTCCACAAATAACATCTCCCTAGAAACAAGTAGGTGCCCCCCCACGAAAAAGTTACACAGTGCACCTTTAAAGTCAATTGATTAGACCCTTCAAAGTATAACAGCAATAAATCATTAGTAACATTTGGCTTCCCTGATTATAGTGCATATGATTCTCAATTTTGTATTTAACTTGAGTGAAGGAAGGAAAGGAAGCCACAGAAGAACGTTTACATTTTATTGAGACGGCGCTCCAGAGGCTCTGGGACAGGTGTCTGCGCAGATGCCAGTGCGTCTGTCTGCAGAGGGTGGCTTTCTGTGGCGTGTGTGGCATGAGACATTTACACACCAGCCCCGACACCGACTTTGGGTTGTGATGACGTTTATGGCGATGTCCGCTCCCAATGGGCACTGCAATTTTTAAAGTGATAGTCTGAGAGAATGAGAGCCTCACACATCAACTACTAGAGACGGGTGCGTTGGAGGAGAGGGAGCAGCCCCAGAACATACAGAAAAATCCCGCACACCGTCTTACTTGCAAACTGTGAAATTTATTAGGACAAACCGTGCAACGTTTCGGCACTGGGCCTTCGTCAGGCAAACAGAATGAGAGCTCAGGTGGCCGTCTTAAATAGGGTGTGGCAAGCACCCAAGGGTGACAGGTCATAAAGAAACAGTGCACACAAAACCCCATAATTCAAAAAACAAAGACAGTCAACATATAGTGTAATAATAATACAAATAATAATAAAAAAAAAAGTTTGCAAGTAAGACGGTGTGCGGGATTTTTCTGTATAAAGTGCAAACGATTTCTTTTATTAAGTCTTTTTTTTGTAATGTAAAGATATCCACGTCTCTCTGTACGATATTATCACTATATGCATCTCACGGTATGACATTTATTGTGATATTTCGGAGAGGCTGATATAATTTAGCCTGATTCATCAGCCGGTTTCACTTCATGGTCTGACCTTGCAGCATCAGGATTTGATCGCTTGACGGTAGGTGGGTACTTTTTTATTTAACCAATCGCTGCTATTTGGTCGCCAAATCTCATAGGAATAAGGGCAATAGCGTCTTTCCCCTTGATAAAATTCACCAAACATTCTCTTTGTTCTGGCTTGAAATCCTCGATCTCAGGAATCGTTGCCAACACAGAATGTCTGTCTTCGTCTACATCCATCTTGACCGCTTTGTTTACTGTTGTGCTCTACCCACAAAAGGGACCCAGACAGGCGCTTGAGTGTGATGTAATGGCTTCACAGCTTTTTGCTGATTGGCTGGTCTATTGCGGTCTACATTGTCCGAGATTCTTGCAAACCATCTAGTGCATTCTGATTCCTGACCTAGTCGCTGGAGAGAAATGAAATTGAGCGGTGGCACCAGCCTGGCTAGATATGCTTATTTGCTTTTAAAATACCCTGACAAGATTTTGGTGTGAATTATTACCGTCATAATCCCAAGAATTCAAGTAAAAAACATATTTCTTCATGTTTTCTGTGCTGAAATGAATCATGGGATATGTAGTTTCCGTTGTTTATTAACTATTGCCGGTGTAAAAGCAAAGGAAC